CGTCGTCGTCGTCGTCGAACATCGCCGCGCACGTGCTCACGCATTGTGAATCCAGACTCGTACTGACCCAATGGATGATTTCCACGATTGCCGCGAAGAGTCGGCGCAGAAGCTTGCACTCGGACCCGCATGCCCCCCCAGAGAGGAGGGGTGCAAGCCCATCGGGGGCTCGTCCAGGGACGTCCGGGACCCTCCGTCCTCCCTCCGTCCTGCCTCCGTCCTCTGTCCTCCGTTCTCCTCAGTCCTCCTCCCTCCGTCCTCCGTCCTTCCCCGCTCGCCCCTGGGGGCCTAGTAATAGGAACTTGTTTTGTCGTCGCTCGCTCCTGGGAGCCTTGGTCATATCAGCTAGTTTACATGAAAGGTCGCTCTGAGGAGGCCAACGTGTTCACCGGTTGCTCGTGGGTCTTCGGAAAATCGCCTTTCGGAAGAACCACAGGCACAGAGTGAACACAGAGATGGGCCGGGACGGTACAGGGGCCCTCTCGCTCCTGAGAGCCTGGATGGTAACAGCTTGCGACGTTGCCGCTCGCCTTTGACCCTTGATGTGAATGCCTCGTCTGCCGCCGTTCGCCCCATGGGAACCTTGGCCGCAACAACTCGTTTCCGCATCAGGTCGCTCTTGGAGAGCCACTGCGCTCTCTGGTTGCCTGCGCCTCCTCCGGGGGTCGCCCCACCGAAAAACAGCGGGCAACCAGCGAACAGGGAGCAGGCCCGAGATGGTTCATGGCACGCTTCGCTCTTGGGAGCCTTCGTCGCATTTGCTCGTTTGCGTCAAAGGCCGCTCTGAGGGGGCCACTGCGTTCACTGGTCACCTGCGAGTCTCGGGGGGGGGGGGGGCCGAAGAACGACAGGCAATCAGTGAATACAGAGATGGCCTGAGATGGTTCCCGGCACCCTTCGCTCTCGAGGGTTTTTGTGGTAAGGGCCCCCTTCGCTACCGCTCGCCCTTGAGAGCCTTGATATTGAAATCCCAGTTTGCCACCGTTCGCTCTTTGGAACCTTGATCGTACCAGCTGGTTCACGTCGCAGGTCTCTCGTAGCGAGCCTCAGCGCGCACTGGTTGCCTGCGGGCGTCGGCCCTGTGGACGGAGGCCCCTCTGCGGAGCGACAGAGCGGTGGCGGGGGCCTCGCCGTCGGCCTCGTCGATGCGTTGTCTCTCGTCGGCCTCGGTGTCTCGTCGTTCTCGGCCCCCCCGGCACCCCTCGCGGCATCGCGCCGCGGCGCTGACCTGCGAGCAATCTCGCGGCATCGCGCCACGGCACTAGCCTGCGAACAATCTCGCGGCATCGCACCACGGCGCTAACATGCGAGCAATCTCACGGTCTCACGCCACGGGCCGGAAACAACCAAAAAATGCCCTGACGGCGTCGCAGAAACCTCGCAGCCGCGCGCTGCGGCTGGCCGGCCCTAACCCTCAGCCGCTCTCCTACGCTCGGCATCTTGAAAGGCATCGGCGAGCCCCTGCTCCATGGGAGTTGTCAAGCCGCCCCGCGCGGCCCCCAGCATGGCAATCATTTCAAGCGCCCTACGTTGGAGGACATCGCAGCGAGTCCAGCTCGGCGCTGAGGGTTCGCTGCAATGGGCCCACTGGAATCTCAAGAAACAGATGTCGGAGAGAAAGCGGAAAAATGGCTGTCACCTGCCGTGTCCGAGGCGGCCAATAGCTGCTGTTCTGGAGCCACGGACGCCCCGCAGGCATTGTGCCTGAGTGCACGGGCAGGCCCGCGAGATGCAAGGCCAAGGCGCAGCGCCGCAACTTGATTGACCCTTCGAGGTGTAGAGGCATCAGGAGGCGCCGGTAGCGGGATGCCACCCTGGATGTCCACGCGGCCCGGCGCCCACTGACGGGCGCGTCTGTTTCCGCGCGAAGAATTCCACGGCGTTCCCAATGGAGGCGCCTTCCTGCAGAATACCAACTCCTCATCCTCCTCACCTCTGGCTTGAACGCTGCTGCAAAACTTCAATAGTTCTAATGGCCTGCGGACCGAGGCGTCTGCGCGCCGATTATGCGACACAATCGTGTAGGGACGCCCCGTGAAGGTCGCGCGCCAGAGACTTCCTGCCGCGCGCCCCTTTCGCGGCGCACTGCCTCCGAGCCCAGAAACTCGTTTAACTCGGCCTGTTCCGCGGAGGGGCTGCCACGAGAGACATTGGGGGGCTGGCGAGGCAGCCTCTGCACGCTTCGTAATGAAAGCTTTCGCCCCTGGTCGCCAAGACGCCAAGGCCTCGGCGGTTGCGACTCGCCGAGGGCGGCTCCTAGCGCTGGGCCGGCACGGCATACCGCTGTGACCCTTCGCGCAACAAACAGCATCGTTAGCCCATGGGGACACCAAGGGACGGATTTTGATGAAATTGTGGTATGGCTCGCCAGCCACTGTTGTCAAGTCGCCGCTCGGACTGCTAGCTTCGCCCAGCACTCGCGCGCGGGCTGTCTCTCCGCGCAGTTTTGCACCCGCGGGTTGCAACCTTGACTGCGCAGACACATCGCGCATGGGCCGTCTGTGCAGGCGGCGGTGCTGACAAAATGAGTCCGCGCTGATGAATGTAGGAAGTGCTTCTTCCAGTGGCACTCCTGCCTGCAATAGTCACGCCACGATTCGCCCTTCGAAGGGACCGCGGGCGCTAACAGCGAGCCATCTCTGCCGCAAAATGCAATGAGGCAAGTGAACGTTCGGACGCTGCGCCTTCCGCGCCCTGCCCCTGGAAGATAGCGGGCTATGATTTTGGCCCTCTTGCAACTACCATCCAGACGCACTAACTGACCAGTGCATAGGAACTGCAGTCGCTGCTGCGCCAAAACCCGTTTAGAGATAACTGTTGGGAAAGCAAGCATTGCTATGTCTCTAAGTCGACCCGCATTCGGAAACGCGTCCAGCCGCGCTGCCAATCGCTCGAGGTCGGTCTGGCCGCTGCGCATCGTCTGGGTCAAGAATGTATCCACAAGCCTTCGCCGCGCTGCTCGGAAGTTCATCGTCTAACACAAGGCAATCAACAGCTGCATCACAAAACGCCCGGTGAAGAAAACGCGACCGCCATCGCCAAGCGTCAGCGTGCCCGGCAGAGCTGTTTCAACATCTGCTACCGCGGGAGCATAGTAATGCGTTCCCGCAGTCCCACGGCTTGCTTGACAAGTCATACATCGCCATGGCCGCGCATCCAAATCCACGAATCTGTCCGCATCCCAAATCACAGAGCCAGCCAATTTTCGTTTTCCACACAGCCGCTGGCCTCGCGGCTTAACCACGTGACCCTCACTTTCAGCGTGTTTTGTTGCCTCTGCTGGAACGACCATCACTGGATCTTGCACTCGTGCATCGTCGTCTATCGCCGGTTATACTGGGGTTGGGCGAGGGACTAGGGATGCCAGCCGATTCCTAGCAGAGAGTATCTGCCGGTGGGCATCATCTGGTGTCGGCGCCACCTGTGTCAACCTCACCCTTTCCTTTTTGATGCTCTCTACTCGATAACGGTAGCAGACATCGTGCAATCCCTTCCTGGAGCATGTGCGCACAGCGCGCAACTTCAAGGTTTGCGTAGAACCTGCTGGACCAGGGAGCGCCTGGATGGGAGCCACGTCGAAGCTCGTCAATCCTCGGAAGGAGTATTGGCCTATAGTTAAAACCTCCAGGCCATGCGCCGTAGCCGTCAGACTTGTAGTCGGAAGCGCAGTATCCAGGATGGCCGACTCAGGCTCTGGGAGCAGCCCTTGCTCCATCAGCCGCAACACTGTACGCGGCGATCGCCCAGCTTGCAAACGCACCGTCATGCATCTTTCACGTTTGCTATTGCGGCGGCCAGCTCGGTCGGCGCGCAGGAGCAGGGCAGAATCGTCCAGCGTGCGTTGCTCAGCTGGCAAAGGTGCAGGAGGCGCCGCTGCAGCAGGCTGTCTCGGAAGAGCTGGGGCCTTAGGTGCTGCACGGACTGGGGCCGGTACGGGCACTGGTGCCGGAACTTGCTGACCGCTTCGCAACGCACACGGCTTATGTTTGACGCTCCACTTGTTAAACATCAGCTCGTGTAGCGAGCGCAGGCGGACACTACACGCAGGTCGCCCTAAACCTGCCCTAGTGACGGCGAACTGTCGAGCTTGAGCCTCGAAGTCTACAGTCCTACACAAGCACCTAAACTTGAGATGAAAAGCAATGCGCGAAATAACCAAAGTGTCCCCACTCAGGCGATACCTGTCCACATATCCAGGTCCCCAATCACGGCGACCCTGTCCCCAGTCACGGCGACTCCGTGCGACCCTGTCCCCAATCCCGCTACCCTACTACCCTGCTACCCTGCTACCCCGCTATCCCGCTACCCGGCCACCCCGCTACCCCGCTACCCTGCTACCCTGCTACCCCGCTATCCCGCTACCCGGCCACCCGGCCACCCCGCTACCCTGCTACCCTGCTACCTTGCTCAGCACCGAGGCCGCAGCGAGGTAGCAGGGTAGCAGGGTAGCGGACCGCTTTTGCAAAACCGCCCACAGTGACACAATGAAAGACCTACCCCTGGAAGTGGTCCAAAACTCTGGGGCCGCGGCTTGAAACAGAACACGTCGTCGCATGTCTGGGCCCAGGGCCCACGACGTCGCGTGTCTTTCAAAAGGCGGGCCCCCACGACGCATAGACCCCTTCCCCGCGGGCCGGCTGTTCACCCCGTGGCCGTTCTTGACGGTCCCGAGGCTCGACAGGGGCCGTCCCAGGAGGCTGAGCATTGCCCAACGCCCCCCCGTCGTGATTTCGACAGCGCGCGACGCGGGCTGGTCGGGTGAGGGTCGGGGGCGTCCAAGAGGGGGGCGTATAAGAGAAGGGTTCGCAAATCATGGCCAGAGGCATGTGCGCGGACGATTGGGGGGCCTGGGGCCTGGGGATGCGTTGGACGAAAAATGGGGGCCGTGAGGTCCAAGGAAATGTCATGGCCCTGGCCATTTCCCTTCCCCCATCTGGTCCTCACACCTTTTTGACCGCCACGGAGGACGGGGGAGGAGGGTACAGGCAGATGCTGTCGTCCTGGGAGGGTGCCCGCCTGAGGTTGGGAATGTCGCCCTGCCCAAAGGCGACGCCGATCACGTCGCCCCTGTGCAGCTCCTGGCGCCAAGGGGCGGCCTCCCCCAGAGCCGATATCCGCCCTCCGCCCTCCTCAGGGGGCCCTCCCATCCTGCTGATCTGACAGGCTCGAGAGAGGGACGATGTACGCTGGGACAGGCAAACAGTTTTCTCTCCAGCCCGGTTTGTTGCTGTGCTGGTTCGCCACCTCCCAAGCCCTGCGGGGAGGTTCGCGTCGACCCCCCCCCTAAGGCCACCCCGCTTCGCGTCGCCAACTGCAGCAACTGGGTTTCCGTGTCGTGGCGACCTGTGCGTTGGGCTCTAGCAGAGCGAGGGCTGATGAACCCCGAACGCTCGAGGGCAAAAACAAAAACCAATCGGCCCCCAGCAAGCCGCAGGGAGGCCCCCAGAGGCCCCCAGGAGGTCCCAGAAGGCCCCAAGTGTCCCGCCTCTTGTCCACGACCTAGCCACGGTGGCGGGATTGGCCGAATGCCATTAGATCCGCCGCCCCCTGCTTGCAGGGGTGCACGGCGTGCTGGATGTTTCAGGTTTTGGTTTTGGTTCTTTTTCCAAAAGAACTCCCCAGTGGGCTCCGGCCCGTCCCGCCACCGTGCCCAAAAACGGCCGTTTCGCTCGGGACATCCTCAAAAAATCGCGAAGATGGCCCAAGATGGCCTCCAAGTCCGCCCGAGATGGTCCAAGACGGCCTCCAAGACGGCCCAAGAGAGTCCAAGACGGCCCAAGACGGCCCAAGAGGCCCCCCAGAGGCCTCCCAGACGGCCCAAGAGGCCTCCAAGAGGTCCTCCAGGAGAGTCCGAAGAGGCCAAAATCATTGATTTTCCCTTGGTTTTTGAAGGATTTTGGCATTTGCGCCTTTTCGGCTCTCCGACGGCTCAAGACGGCCCAAGAAGCCCCCAAGATCGCCCAAGAGGCCCCCAAGAGAGCCCCCTGATGGCCCAAGTGGCCTCCAAGATGGCCCCTAGAGGGCCCCAAGACGGCCCAAGAGGCCTCCAACACGCCCAAGATGGCCTCCAAGACGCCCAAGATGGCCTCCAAGACGGCCCTGGAGCGCCCCAAGAGGGTCCCCCGTTGGCCCAGAAAGGCCCCCAAAACGGCTCCCGACGGCGTCAGACGTGCCAGGAACCCACCAAGATGGCCGAAGTTGGCTCGAAGCTGGCCCAAAAGGGCCCAAGAGGCCCCCAAGAGGGCCTCCAGGAAGGCCAAAAGATGCCAAAATCACTGATTTTCCCAAGGTTTTTGATGGATTTGGGCAGTTCCCTTCTTTCGGCCTTCCGACGGCCCGAGACGGCCCAAGAGCCCCCAAAGATCGCCGAAAGATCGCCCAAGAGGCCTCCAAGACGGCGACGATGACCATCAAGACGCCCACGTGTTCCCCGAAGGCTTTCCAAACCGATTCGGGGAACACATGGTCCGATGGCTTGGCAGGTCTGGCCTCAACGTTCGGCCACATAGGCGCTTCCACAAAGGCAGGGGGCGGCGGTGATTCGCCGTAGGCGTCTTCGATCCGCCGCCCCCTGTTAGCTTGCCACAGGGGTGCCTGGCGTGCTGAACACTTTCGCTTTTGATTACTTTAGAACTCACCCTGGGGCTTCGGCCCGTCCCGCCGGCCACCCGGAAGGTCCCAAAACCACCGAAAACCACCCCAACGCCCACAAAAGTCCAAGACGCTTCAGGATCGCCTTTAAGATGGTCAGGTTGGCCCAAGATGGCCTCCAAGATGACCCAAGATGGTCCAAGTTGTCCTCCAAGATGCCTTCAAGTTCGTCCAAGAAGCCTCCAAGACGGCCCAAGATGACTCTAAGATGGCCTAAGACTGCCCAAGAGGTCCCCAAGAGGCCTCCAAGAGCTCCCCCAGGAAGGTTCGAAAGGGTCATAATAATTAATTGTCCTTCGGTTTTTGACTGATTTGGGCTTCTGCTCCCTTACGGCCTTCCGACGGCCCAAGACTGACCAAGAGGCCATCAAGATCGCCCCCAGTGCCCAATAAGCCTCCAAGACGGCCCCAGGACGGCCCAAGGGCCCCCCAAGACGGCCCCAAGAACTTCTTGGGGCCGTCTTGAGACCTTCAAGGTCCCAAGATGGCCCAAGAGGCCCCCAATAAGCTCCAGATGGCCTCAAAGACTACAAAGAAGGCCTCCAAGATGGCCTCCAAGACGGCCAAGATGGCCCCAAGATGCACCCAAGACGGCCCAAGATGGCCTCAAGATGGCCTACGACTGCCTTATAGACCCGCAAGAGGCCTCCGAGACGGCCCAAGAGCCTTCCAAGACGTCCTCCAGGAAGGGCCAGCAAGGTTAAATCATTGATGTTCCTTAGGTGTTTGAAGGATTTTGGCTTTTGCTCCTTTTCAGCCCTCCGACGGCCCAAGACGGCCCAAGCGGCCCCAAACATCGACCCAAGAGCGTTCAAGAGGCCTCCAAGATGGCCCCATGACAGCCCAAGAGGCCCCCAAAAGGGCCCTAACAAGGCCCCAAGACGGCCCAAGAGGCTCCCAAGACGCCCAAGATAGCCTCCAAGACGGTCAAGATGGCCTCCAAGATGCCTCCAAGGCGCCAAAGATGGCCGTCAAGACGGCTGAGATGGCCCGAAACTGCACCTAAGACTGCCCAAGATGGCCTCAAGATGGCCTAAGACGGCCCTAGAGGCCCGCAAGAGGCCTCCAAGACGGCCCAAGACCCCTCGGAGACGTCTTCCAGGAAGGCCCGACAGGGCCAACATCATTGATGGTCCTATGGTTTTGAAGGATTGTGGGATGTTCTTCTTTTCAGCTCTCCGACGGCCCAAGAGGGCCCAAGAGGCCCCCAACATCGTCTCAATAGCGCCCACGAGGCCTCCAAGACGGCCCCATGACAGCCCAAGAGGCCGCAAGAGCACCCCAACAAGGCCCCAAGACGCCCAAGATGGCCCCCAAGACGGCCAAGATGGCCTCCAAGACGGCCAAGATGGCCTCCGAGATGCCTCCAAGACGGCCGAGAAAGCCTCCAAGACAGCGAAGATGGCCCCAAGGTGCACCCAAGACTGCCCCAGATGGCCTGCAGATGGCCTGCCCAAAAGGCCCGCCAGAGGCCTCCATGACGGCCCAAGACCCCTCCAAGACGTCCTCCAGGAGGCCCGAATGCTCGGAAACCACCTGGCCCGATAGCTCGCCCGACTCGGTGTTCCCCGAAGGCTTTCGACACCCACTCGGGGAACGCGTGTCCCGATAGCTTGGCCAAGCTCAAACCAAGCTTTCGGCCACGCAGGCGCATCCAAAAACGCAGGGGCCGGCGATGATTCGCCGCAGGCGTCTTCGTTCCGCCGCCCCCCGACAACGCTGGCTGGATTCCTCGTCCTGCTCGCCGTCCCCCCCTCTCCAGCCTTCTCCATATACACTACCCCCCGCCCTCGCTTTACTCGTGCCCCCGCTGATCTTCGTCAATTTCGTTTATCGCTTGTCGTTATGCTTCTCCTTCCTCTTCCCCCTCCTGTCCGTCTTCCGCATCTTCTTCTTAGAACTCCTCCTCCTCCTCCTCCCCCTTGCAAAATACATCCCCTTCCTCCCCGTTCTGTGGCTCCTGCGACAACGTCCAGGAGCACGACCTGTCGCCAAGTTGGCTATCAAGGAGGTGGCCGGAGAGCTCGTAGGCCACCTCGGTGCGACGGGTCTCGAGAAAGCAACGCATCGCGTGAGAGGGAATCCATACTCCTGCGGCATCATGGCTGTCGCGTAACAGTGGGGTTCGAATGCGGCAGGTAATAGCTCATCATCATTTCCATGCCATGCTGCATCTCTGGGGGGGGCTCGTCTGCCCCATCGCTCCGCAAAACGCGTCTACTCCGCGTCGGATCCATGTCGAACGCGTCGCAACTATGTCGGGCCCATGTCGAATCCACGTAAATCAGCGTGGAGCGCGCGTCGGATGCAATAACATACTGCAATTGACAGAACACACACCCGATGGCGCAACGATATATCCTTATCCCAGGAGCACACTGCCCACGTGGAACATATTCGAGGTGCCCGAAACATCTCCAAAAGCCTCGCATAGTGCCTCGGAAATGAAGCACCCCCTGCCAAATCTGTGCTCGCTGATTTGTACATCCCTGGTAGCCCCCGATGGTGAAACCATCGCTCTGGATACCGTGCAACGGCTGGTCGTGGCGCCCATACTCCCGCGAAATGCCGCCTGCACTCTTGCGCGTCCTCTTCCTCGCCCTCCTCCGTACGGCCAGCATCGAGCGTCCCAGAAAGCCCCTCAGAGACCGTGGAGCACCCTCAGACACTACCCCTCTGAACGACGTCCCGCCTGGGGCCCTCCCCCCCTCCTCCCCCTCCTCTTCTTGCTCCTTCCCCCTCGCCCCCTCTCCCCACCCCGCCATCGTGTCCTCTTCCTCCTCCTCCTCCTCCTCGTCCCCGGGTGTCAACGTCGGCCTCGTCCTTCTCATCCTCCACCATCCGCCTCCATCGCTCTCCCTCGTCCCTTCCTCGCTCCTCGCCCCCCCCTCCCTCGCGATGGCCCTTCATCGCCCTTTTCCCACCATGACGCCACGAGGCTGTGGGTGGGAAGCGCAGGTGCGCTTGAGTGTGACAACATGCTGGGTTGCGCACGCCCCCACGAAGCTGGACAACTCGTAGTTGCAGTGCGCAATGTCCCTGTTCGACATTTCACCGCTGGCTGTAACCCCTTGTCGTGTCAGACGAGCAAGACCACGTATGGGGGTGAGAGTGGAGATGATTGTGGTGGCGGTGGTGGGGATGACGTTGTTACTGTTGATGTTGATGTTGGTATGGAGGATGATGCTGGAGGTGATGGTGGTGATGATGATGTTGAAGATGCTGATGCTATTGATGATGATGATGATGATGATGATGATGATGATGATGGCGATGCTGATGATGCTGCTGATGATGATGTTGCTGATGGTACGGGTGATTACGAGGGTAATGATGATGGTGGTGGTGATGATGACGACCCTGATCATGCTGATGATGATGTTGGTGATGGTAATGATGATGATGATGATGATGATGATGATGATGATGATGATGATGATGATGATGATGATGATACTGATGATGATGATTACAACGATGGTGATGCTGAAAATGATGAGTACGATGAATATGCTGACGATGGCAATGATTGCGGCAATGGTGGTGATGATGATGGTGTTGGTGACGAGTGTAATGATGATCACGATGGATACTAGGATGATGATAATGATGATGCTGTTGAGGACTATGATGATGATGATGGTGGTGAGGATGCTGATGATGTTGATGGCGAGGGTGCTGACGGTGATGATGAGACTGATGATGATACCGATGATGGTGCTGATCATGACGAATTTGATGGTGAGGATCAAGCTGATGATGATGATGCTGATGATGGTGATGCTGGTAATACTGATGATGCTGATGATGATGATGATGATAATGGTAATGATGATGATGCTGCTGATGATGATGCTGCTGATGTCTATGATGATAAGCATGGTGGTGATGATGATGCTGAGAATGATGAGGGTGCTGTTGTTGATGATGATGGTGATGGTGATGACGATGTGTGGTGATTGTGCACGGGGCCACCCCGATGTGGCATTCCGCGCCCAAGTCCAAGACCCTGACCTGCGCCGGGGCTGGCCGAGGGGAACCGCTCGCCCCGTGCGGCAGGGAATGGGAGGGAGAAGAGGGGCGAGGGGGAACACTCGGGGGAAGGGGGGGGGAAGAGGCTCCAGGGGGAAGAGGAGGGTTGGAAGAGAGGAGCAACGGGAAGCGATAGGGGGGCTGGCTGAGAGAGGAAAGGAGGATGGAGGCAAGAGGAGTGAGGGAGAACGAAGAGGGGAGACCTAATACACGGGGGGGAAGAGGAAAATGGGGGAAGGGGGGCGAGGGAAAACAGTCAGGGTGGACTGGCTCAGGCGGGGGGGGGCTGAGATTCTGCTTTACCGCAGTGGGGCCATTCGTAAAAGGGGGCCCGAACGAGGGATGGCGGCAGTCGTCCGGCCATTGGTTTCCCAGAAGTCGGAATTGTGGGGAACCTGGAAACACTGCAACAAGGAATTTTTTTTCCCCATAACTCGCCCTGCGAGTGATGGGAAACCAAACATACACGCACGAACGCACAAACACCCTCTCTATCTCTCGCTCCCTCTCTCACAAATACACATGTTTCTCGACTGGCGAAGCGATGGCACCGTCGCCAAGTTCCGCATTTGCCACATACACATGAGATAATGTCACCAAACATTGCAGGTAGCAGGTACTTGGCACGCAGACACAGAAACGCTTGCGCGCGCGTTGCCGAGCGAGAACCACTGGCACGGCTGCCCCTCCCCGCCCCGAATCGGGTACAAACTAACATGGATTACGGCGTGCACGTATCGTGCACCTTTCAGGCCCGCGATGGCACTCTGGGGGCCGCTCAGGACCCATTCGAGGCAACTTCCCTGAGATTCTCGAGCCGCCCGCGCTGACCAACCCCACATTTCCGCCCGCCCGAGCTTAGCCACAGAGAGTGCGCCGGCTTCGCAGGAATAGCAAGAGCACAACGCCGATGCGTGCCCGCGTTTCCTCCGCAGAGACCGTGCTCCACGACGACCGCCTGGGCGTCCGCTGCAGGCGGGGTAAGCACAGCGTGCGGCGGCGCGCAGCGGGCGGGCCAGCGCCTCCCAGTAGGCGGCGTCCTGCTCTATCACAGTGTCGGCGAGTGCCGAGCCCTCTCGGGGGGCGGAATCCGTGGCCGCCGCTGCCGCTCCTCCTCGTCCTCCTCGTCGTGCTCGTCGCCGTGCTCCTCCTCCTCCTCCTCCTCCTCCTCCTCTTCCTCCTCCTCGTCATCACCACCATCATCATCACCACCATCATCATCATCATCATCATCATCATCATCATCATCACCATCACCACCACCACCACCACCACCACCATCATCATCATCATCATCATCATCATCATCATCATCATCATCATCATCATCATCGTCATCCTCGTCAGCAGCAACAGCAGCATCATCATCATCATCAGCATCAACATCAGTAGCAGCAACAACATCACCATCCTCATCAGCAGCAGCATCAGCATCAGCATCAGCATCAGCATCAGCATCAGCATCAGCATCAGCATCAGCATCATCATCATCATCATCATCATCATCATCATCATCATCATCATCATCATCGACATCCTCATTATTCTCGTCCTCCTCCACCTCGCCCTCCACTCTTACTCGTCCTCCTCGTCCTCATGAGCCCCGCCCTCCTCTTCGACGAAGGTAATGCCAAGATGTGACTGGCGGGGGATACAGTTCAAGCGTTCCGGAGTTCTAGCGGCCCCTTGCCATTCGCACTCGGCCATTCGTCTCTGGCCGCGCTGGACTGCAGGGGGACCTGGAAATCTGTGAGCGAATCATCATCGGTCTCCTCCTCTTCCTCTTCCTCAGTCGGTCGGTCGCATGTGTCGACTTAAACTCGGTGACCTTTCCACAGCCTGGGAAATTGAAGTGCAAGTGGTGGGGGAAAAACCCGGGCAGCAAGATTGGGTGGACTAGATTCACGCAGCTGTGCTTCCCCGTCAAGGTCGTCAAGACACTGGAAATCCCAGAGATCTGGCTCAATCCCAGCCAGGACGCACCGAGGAGGGGCCCTCACGATATTGCAACACAAGAACGCAGCACACGCACACCTTCATCAGCTGGCACGCTGACTTCCTCTACTCCCCGTGCAATGTGCAATTGAAGTCGCCAGCCACTGCTGTCCTGTCTCTTCAAGGAAGCAGTCGGCTCTCGAACTGAACCCACTGATTGGTCTTGCACGCGAGGGGGGCCAGGAGCCAGGATGGGGGGCATCCAAGATGGCTGGCACCTTGAGCTTGTCAGCAACAACAATACGAAAAGCCAATATGATTCCCACATTTCGTATCTTGCAACAAATCGACTGCGTTTGCTGTGAGGGGTGGCTTCCCCCGGAAGAGCGTCGCATCACGGGATTTTCTGGACGGCCTGGCCCTTCCCCAATCAAATGGTGTGGCGATGCTCACGTGCAGCAGTCAATGTGAACTCGGAGAGATTAGACCCTTCCCAGTGCGATCACATTCAACAATTCGCGCACCTCGACACGCTGCCCCTTCTCATGAAAAGGCAAATGCTCAGAAGCATGTTCGGTGTGGTCTCAAACCACAAGTCAGATGATGAGCGACGGTCCAGCCAGCATGAGGAACGTCCGCCCCAAGGCTCCTCCCCCATCTTCACGGCCGCTCCTGATCATCCTTGCTGTTTCAGATGTGCAGATAGCCCATTACAGCTGGGGAGCAGCTTCCAGCACGCCTGGCACAGTGTGCCTCCCGCGTCGCTCTCTGGCTGATGCCATTGCCTGTGATTTCTAGCAATGTGGACTGTCAGAGCTCAGTTTATGCTCCCAGCCAGGCCGCAATCATCGCGAACAAAAGCCTCTCGAGACTCACGAGGGTGCAGCTGTCAATTAAGTTTGCTCCTTCTCCTGGCATCTGTTAACAATACTCCTCAGAACTCTGCTGCCTTACTGCATCCTGTCTGCTGCGGGGCCCGTGCTTGGACAGCTGCGATCAGGAGCTTCTAACGGCTGAATGCAGTGCTCAACTATCCCTTGACAATGACCTGAAAATTCTGGCATTTGCCTGCAACCATTGAAACATCGTCGGCAACCAGCATGGGCCAACATGCTTTTCCCAGAGATAGCTGAGCATGTAAAACACATGCACAGCTTCCTTGTAATGCGTACGTAGCTCCTTGGCAACTTCGGCTCTACCCACCATGCTGGTTAGTGAGTCTGTTCCCAGCGTCATTGAGCAGCTGAATCCATCGAGGCACGGTATGTTCTTGCGCCGTCGATAAATGATTGGTAAATCTGGTGGTGGCAAGATTCCGTGGCCGCGAAGGCCTCAGCGTACTGTATCTCACTATCGCGTTGGTCTCAAAGACCTTCCTCGACCCCAAGGTCCTCTGTATCGGCCTCATTTCTTCCCCCCCCCCCCACACACACACAAACACGCAGCAAAGTGTTTGGCAATCCCCATACCCATCACCCCAGTGTCAGAGCTGCTGATGTTCACTTCCACCTGCAGTACTTGAATGTCAAATTTTCCCGCGGCCGTGCTCCAGCATTTCCTCTTGACCTCCTTGGAACATGTCCCCACTGGTGCACACGATGCCGTCAGTCTTATCACGACGAATTTGTATCCGTGCCTTGAAAAGCGCATCAGACAGCGCATCAGATATGACATTGATAGCTTTTGCAACAACTTCTTCTAGCTTGTCAGCCCTTGTCGCGCCCCCTGCAGCATACGAACCATCCACACATGAAGTGGTGTCAGCCGGTGGTGCATCTCCTTGAGCCTTTCTAAAAATACGTGGGGAACTGTCAATGCAGCTGTCATCCGATGCCTTCCTGGTAGAACTTACCCTGGGTGTCTTGATCCGTGGGAGCCCAGGCAAAGTTGAAAATATCAGCTGCCACGAGCGGGCCAGGTTTCGAGCCCACAAAAGGCAAACGAAAACGTTCAGAATCCCTGAACTGCTGGGCGCAGTCTGGAAGTCCGCCATCAGGGCACAAACATGCTGATTCGGAATGACCTTATCATATGCTTTATGGCTGCAACTGCTGCGCTGCATGCTGCATTGCCGGATGGACGTCGCCATGCGACACATGCTCCTCAACAGCATTCACTTCAGATGTTAAGACGATCACCATGGGCCGAACAACTGAATAAACGGCCGCTTTCAGATCTATGAAGCAAACGTAGAAACTCCCGCTACTACTTGTGCTTCCATCTTAGTAAGTCAACCATCCGTCGGAAAGTCCGCCCAGGCCGAACCGAAGAGAAACGACGGTTTGAACTGTTCATATCTTCGCACGTCTGAATCACCATCCTCCTCCTCGACCCCAAGGAGGGGGCGCAGGAGGGGGGGGGAGGCGGCGGAGCGACATAACCAGGAGGAATTTGGGGGAGAAGGAAGAGGAAGGAGATGGAGAGGGGACGGAGGGGGACGCGGAGAGAAGGGGAGGCCTGAAGGGATCTCCAAGGGGACAGGCATCCCGCGGCTGATGCTGCGGCGCGAGCAGACGCGCGGGCGGCCGCGCGGACGCGTGCTGTCGCGCGAGCGGGCGACGGCGCAGGCGCCCGGGCGAGCGCGCACGGGCGAGCACTTGTGTAGTCCGAGCCCTGCCGCGGGCATGACCCCAGGACTTCTCTCGATCACTCGAGAGCAACCCCAAAGGGAGAGGAGCTGGGAGCTTGACGAGGAGGACCCATCCCCCCAAACCACCCCTCATTGCAACTGCACGATATAGTCATCCTCCTTCCTGCTCCCCCGTCCCCTGCGCCCTCGACGGCCGCACAGGGCGGGGGTCTGGGTCCCCAGGAGGAGGAAGAGGAGGAAGAGGAGGAGGAGGAGGAGGAGGAGCAATAGCAATAACCCTGGGGCGCCTCACGATCCGTCGAACTCGAAAGCCGAGGGCGCCTAGGTGCTGGCGTTTGCCAGGCCTTGCAACACGCCTGCGTGCGGGCCAGCGCCGCGAGTGCGGGCTGGCAGAGTCCGACGGCGTGCCCTTCGGCGCGCAGCCTGCGGCTGCCGCCTTTGGCACCACCCTCAGGGAGGAAACGACTTGCCTGAGAGAGTGCGCCCAACCGACCCGAAAAGGAGCCAAGGCCCCTCGAGGAGAGAGCAAGAGCCACGGGGCCCCACACGGCATCCCCTAACTCAGGCCCTGCCTCTCGAGGCGCCCCTACCCCTTCCCTTCCCCGCACCCACGCCACGGCGGCTAGAGGGGCGCGGAAGCGCAACAGCAGGCCCCACTTCAGGGGCATTCTGAAAAGTGACTGGGGTGGGAGTCGAAGAGGAAGGAGGCACAAGACCAGGAGGAGGAGGAATGAAGTTGGGAGAAATCACCACAGATTCAGCGACCGACTGGCCGAGCACAAGCCTTGCTGCGGCCTCACTCAAATGACCAGCACGAAGGTGCGCCAACACACGCTCACTACCAGCCCAACTGAAACCAACTGAAGCGTGCGAGGCAGGCGTCACTACTTGACGCTGTCCAAGAGCCTCTGCGCTTCGCGTACAAGTACCCCTCTCGGCGCGCCTCCAATTGTTTTGTGACCCCTCTGGGCGGCCAGCGCGGTCCTGATGGCCGCAGTGATCGGCTTCGCCAGGTCGTGCTCGTGGGAGATGAGGAACTGCACCTTCACTAGCTCCTCGCCGTCCTTGTTCTTGCCTTTCGGGCGCTTCGCCCTGCAGAACCCGATCAGATCCGACATCCCCTCGGGCTCCTTGAGCTTCGAGATCGCCCCCTCGAAGTACTTCAGAGCGGGAACTCGAGCTGCGGCCAACTCCATGTCCTCCGCTTCCTTCTCCGCCGCGCCCTGAATCATCGCGGCGAACACGCGCAAGAAGGGGGCCGACATCTTCGGCTTGACGTAGTCTTTGTTGCCATTCTTGTGATCCTGCTTCTCCTTCTCGCGCGCTTCCTGGGCCTCGGCGTTGAAGGCCTGGTTCTCCTCGAGCATCAGTTCTACCATGTGCGAGGTGAGCGGCGCCAGCCAGGTGCCGTAGACGGCGCCGATGAGCATTCTGAGCTCCGCCTCGTCGCGGGGCACCAGCTTGGCCAGCACCACCACCAACTCGTCGATCGCCTGCTTCTTGGCGGCCGTTCCTTGCGGCCTGGCGGCGCTGACGCTGGCGCCCTTGCCTGCTGCCTTGGCCGCCTTCAGCCTGGGCCCCGCGTCGCCTATCTTGGCCATCCAGCCTGGGCGCGCCAGCGTCGCCATCCTCGTCTATGTAGCAGTGGCGATATCGATCGTAGATACGAAGGGCTCGAGGAAAATGGATACGGACATGCATCTGGTAATTCTCCAGATCTGAGGCGTGATGATCACATAATAAACATCTTAGATCACCCACTTCATGTAATGGTTCCTGTGTTCGGCCTCCCCCAGAGTAACAGCATCCCCTATTCATAGCACCTACCAAATGTCGGCTAGCAGTAGTAAGGCTGGAACAAATCTCCACGCAGTTCGGGCACTGGTTGGTTTTACAGAGCACATGCCCCAAAGAGCGGTAGTTGCGATGAAAACGGAGATGGTTCAGGGCAGCCTTTTTTATCAGGAAAAAGTTCTCCACAAGGATTCTCTTCCCCCGATATCCCATTAACGACGCAGAAGCCACATGCCCACTTAAGCCCGCCCTCCTGCTCCGTGACAACCCCTTCCACCTCAACCGAAGGAACGGATACAAACCCAGGTGGGGGAATCGCGACGGTGTGTTGACGGCGACGCAGGACAGTAAAATCAAGCTTGCAGAAAGCTTTTCCGAGCTCCCTATCCCACCACAGTGCCAGGGAAGATCCCTGAAGACGCGCGAGCAAGTCTTCGCCGCCCTCCATCTCAGAGATAGACTCAACGTCTGAATAACAAAAAGCCTCGCCCACGGATTCGCATAAGCCGTGAGCCGCCCCATGTAGTCGAACTGCTTACGTTCGTCGACTGGAAGCTCTGCAAAAAGAGCGGTGAGAATTTGTGCGCGTCGCTTAGGATACCGAATAAACTGCACCAGCCAATTTAAACGTCTGACCCGTAACTCCAAAAAGGAAGGAACTAGCCGCCAATGTCTAAGTACATATTCGTTTGTCATAGTTCTGATATGATCAGGTCCTTCTCGGCTAGCTCCTCCCTGCATGGCTACTCTACAGTGCTTGATGAAAGTCGAATCGATACGCTTACACTGACCCTTGGTCACCAGGAAGGCCTCCAAGTTCTGAGTGCCAACATTCTGAATCCCCAAGAGCACCGATCTTCGGAGTCGGAACGCAACTCCAGGAGCCGACCAAAACTTCCCAAGAGCATGAAAAGAACTCTTCAGAGCCCCCAAACGCTTCGAGACTTCCACAGCAATAGATCCCAGACAATGAATTTGACCTCCAAGCACCCTCATAGACGGAGTAGCCCCACCAGCGAACAAAGTTTTATTACGCAAGCGAAGATAACGATTGGCAGCTGCAGAGCCCGAGCCCACGAGAGAGACGACGTTGGTTTGCTTAGGGAGATTTTGCCTCCACCCCCCCGAGCAAGGGCCCCGTCCAGCGACATGTTAGAGTGGTCGTTAGCAGCACATAGTTCAGAAAGGCCCGCATCTATCAAGGAAGCCTCAGGGCCTCCAGCCACATGTAGTTTAGTGAGGTCGTCCGCGTACTTGGTTAAGCCTACGTTGGCCTCTCCAATGCCACCAATCCGGCACTCTACATACAGTAGCTCCTCAGTTTCAAGGGCCTCTCTCAATTCCACACTCCACGAATCAACTGGAAACTCATAAGCTCTGCCAAAAGACTCCACTGCATAAGGATCGCCCATGAGCGCTCCACACTTGGGCTGCACAAGAAGAGACCTATCACGCGTCGGAAGCCGAATAGTAGCTTTGCGAAAACGGTCGAGTCCGAAATGTCTACCACTTTGCTCAAGCAGCAAGTCGTTGGCCTGCTCCAACAGTGCCCACGAGGTAGACGGGAAAGCATTGCTGAGGTCCTTGTTGGACCAGGAAGAACTAAAACCTGCGAGGCGGAGTCGATGTTGCATAATCTGAATCACCGGCATTGCACCCTCCTTCCTCCTTCCCCTGCTGAAACCATAATCGCACGGGCCCAGGGGGGGAGGTCGGTTTCGTCGAATAGCCCCAGCCAGCCACGCCTTTCCAAGAGGGCCCAGTAGATGTATAACACGTTTCCCTTTGGGGCCTGGCGTTGAGGACTTCGGGAGGGCGCAACCGAAACTTCGATTCCAGAGACGGGGGGACCTGCCAGCAAACCTGACACAGACTAATCCGTTCTCGAGCGACTCCTGAAGAAGCTCCGTCTGGAAATCGTGGCTGGCACCTACACCAAGCTTCGCTCTGCGTCGCCCCAAAAAAGGGCCAGTAATCATACGCCAAACTTCGGCCGGCACAGACCAGGGAGGGCAGGCTCGCCTCTTAGGCGCATGTCGTAGGTATTTAGCAATAGACATCATATCCACCTTGGCCTCCACCGAATATACTCCACTAAAACCTGTCGTCCTCGTCTCCTGCGCGAGCTCCTCCGCCACCTCCTCCACCCCCATGCCTCCCAGATGACCTCGGAGCCGCCATGCAGACAGCCATTCGTCAGCACTAAGAGCAGCACCCTGAAGATGCCGAAGATTCCTGCCTCTGGGAGCCTTGCCGCGACAGGCGAGCAGCCTAATCAGCCGATGCGCCTCTTTCAAATTGCGAGTTTTCCAAGCTTCATCTAACTCATCCGTGATCTCCTTCCTCCACCTCCGATACTGCCCCCTCCGAAGTTGGGACATTCTTTACTAAGTCTGCATAGCTCATCCTTGATCGCCCCCTCCTCCTCCTCCGCGTTGGTTGCCGAGATAGCCTGGCGCAGAAGAAGGCGACGCTGCAGCAGAGCACGACGCTCGGCAGCTTGCTCACAGTAGCCTGGCAGTCCTCCGGTAAGACTGCCTCCGAAAACACTGCCAGCGTGCTCCTGCAAGATGCCATTAAACATTTCAAAATACTTATCTGGCATGCCCTCCCCCATCGCCTTATCGAGGTCCGCCTGCCGCTCTCTCAGAGCCGCAGACGACAGAGAGAAGAAGAGCTCCCTCCCCTCCGAGAACTTCATGGCCTCAAAGTTCCAGAACATCCTGTCCGACGATTTCTCTTCTGGCGGGACGAAGTCCCACCTGAAATTTCAGTGCAGCGGAACATGATCCCTGGGATATCTGGAAGGGATGAGTTGGTGCTTCTCCATGAGTCCCCCTAGTGGCCCTCCCGAGACAACTAGATCTATAGCTGCTGCAGTGCCTATGATGTAGTCGACCCTGCTACTTTGATTATCGTTTCCGTACCAGGTGGGTTCGACCTTGTTACGAAGCCCCAGAAGTACCAGACCGCATTCCTGCATAAGGCCCCGAACTTGTTCCCCAGCGCCCCCAGGAAGATGTTCACAGGAAGCCAAATCTTCAGACACCGTAGGAGTATCAGCGTAGACCCAGCTCCCCATCACGGAAGACCATCCCAATCCCGTCGTTCAAGTCGACACTTATGATCGGAAAAACTCTGGAGTGTTGGGCAAGCTCAGCACAGATAGAACGAAGCCACTCCACTAACTTATTCACCGTCTGCAAATAGTTCGGCCTACCCTGAAGTCCCCGAGGGCGTGGAGGGAAGTAGCAGCCCACGACCGCGACGTCCAAGCCATACCTCTTCACGCGAACACCCAGCCCACGGCCAGCAAGACTAGCAGAAGGCAACCAATGTCGGACAATGTGTCGCTCCCGAAATCCGCAACTCAAAGTGATGGAGACTCCAGTACTTTTGTTAGTGTAGGCCCCTCTACCGTAGCCCGCCTCCAGCAGGAGAACTCCCTGCACCATCCTCTTCTCCAGCGGCGAATCAGGGCGAGCACGCACTTGGGCCCCCACGAAGCAGCTCAGGTGGAACGACTTGGCACTGGTCGAGATCACCTCTTCCTGTCGCTGGCAAGAGACGTAACTTCATCGGGTGGCCACGCAAGGCTGTGTTACCCTGTTGGCCGATAGACAACAAATTTCGGTAAGCGAGGTGTGTGTCTTCATTAAGATAAGAAGGGCGGGGTCCTTGCAGGAAACTCGTGCCGCCTAGGAGGAGGAGGAGGAGGAGGAGGAGAGGAGCTCGTCTCGTCTCGACCTCCTTCAAGTCTTCCAAGCTGGTGACCTTTGCTCTGGGGTGGACACTCACGTCTACCCCTCTCTCGCTGCTGTCGACGCTGGGGGAGCCTGACACGCCTAGATAGTCGTGGGCGTGTACAAAGTGCGCCCCTGTTGGCGCCCGCGCCGGGGGCATCTGTGTGCGGATCCCACCGTATGGAAGAAAAACGCTTGAAAAAGACATGACGGAAGGGGCGAACGCGCGTCTCGATAGGAACCGGGTATTCTCCCGTCCCTCAGACCTGAAATGCAGGTTGAGAAACGCGCCTGAAGGACATGTGAAGGAGGAGACGCCCCTCTTCGCTACTAGCGGGACCGATGGCGGCGGCCCGCCTTCCTGGCCCGTGCCAGATGCCAGGCCGCAGCTGGGCCCTCCGGCGGCCGCCCGAGCGCGCGTGCGGCAGCACCGCTGCCGCCCCGCCTGCCCTGCTGCTGTTCGACCCCGCGCTGTTGCCTACGCTGCAGCGGAGCGCAGACCTGCTTGAGCTATCCACGCTGGCGTCCCTCCGCGGCGCCCGGCTGGCGCCGCTGCTGGGGGAGCGCGTCTGTGTGGTCGGTGCATGCTGCTTCGCCCGACGAGGCCGCGGCGGCCGCGCGCGCAGTGGCCACAGAGGCCTCCGCCGCCTCCGGCGCGGTGGTGGGCGCGGTGTGCGGCTGGAGCCCCGCGGGCCTCGTGGCCGCCGCCCGAGGCGGGCTGCGGCAGACTGGCCGCACGGTCGGCCACCAGCGGCCACCAGCGGCCATGCATCCGTAGCCCTCGCGGCCGAGCTGGGGAGCGCGCTGAGGGGGGAGCCGGCGGCGGACGGGCTAGCCGAGTGGGAGCTGGCACTGGTGCTGCTTGGCGAGGAGGGCGGCGGGCGGCTGTTCCTGGGGGGGCGGGTGTCCGCCGCGGTGGCGTCGCGGTGGCCGTGGTGGCGGAGGCCTGGGGCGCGGCCGTCCCATGGGCTGGACATCAAGGTGGCGCAGGCGGCCGTCTCGCTGGCGGTCGCCCCGTCGCGGCGCGCGCGGGGGGGCTGTGCGCCGCGGGCGCTCCTCGTCGACCCGTGCTGCGGCAGCGGCTCCAGCATTTTCTGCGCGCTGCACGGCCCCGCGCCAATCCCGCGAGCCCCTCGTGGCGCTGGACGTGAGCGCCCGCCACGTGCAGGGCACCCTGCAGAACGTGCGGCCCCACGCCGCGCAGCCGGCCCCTGCTGGTGGCCTCGGCCTGGGCTGGGCGCGACTCTTCGCGGATGGCCTGGCCGGCGGCGCCGACTTTTACGCGGGCGCCCAGGACGCCGCCTGCGTGGCGCCGCTGCAAGAGCCCTGAGGGGGGCGTCAGCAGGGACCGACCGTCCCGGCATTCCTGTAGGCATACCACGACATGTTCTTAGAACCCAAAAACTTTCTAAGAACAAAAAACAAGGTTCTTAGAATATAAACCCGATGTGTAGACAGTCCCAGCGAGAAATGTTCTCAGAACATGTCGTGGAGACCACAAAAGGTTCTTCGAACCTTGTTTGGTAGGCCTATAGACACGCCAGGACGATTCGCCACCGCTTGAGGGGCGGCGGTGCTCCTTGGCAGCTGGCAGGCGTGGCCAACCTCGCCTGGGGCAGCAGCTAGCGCTCGGCGGAGCAGCAGACCGCCGCCTTCTTGGCCGGGCTGCGGCAGACCTTCGCGGCCTTCCCCCGCCGCGGGGGGGCGGGGCCGCCGCGCCTGTGCTGCGTGGTGGGCGCGCCGGAGGCCCTGGCCGCCCTGCTCCTGCGAGAGGGCGGCTGGCCGCTCGTGAGGGGCCTGCAACGCGAAGGTGCTGTGCTCGCTGGCCCTCTGCAAGCTGCAGTGACGCCCGCTGTGCGCGCCGACACTCGGCACCTCGAAGAGGCCGCGCGGCGTGGGTGCCGCAGGGGCCCCGCTGCGTCCCGCGCGGTCGGCGTTGGCAGCGCGGGGCCTCGGAGAGGAAGGGCGACTCGTGCTCAAGCTGCTGCAAGGAGCCTTTGCTCCTTACCACCCCCCTCATCCTCTCTCCTCCTCCACCTCATCTCGGAGGAGGGCCACTTGAGACAACGGTGCCCCCCCCACACAGCCCAAATCCGATCACAGGCGGTCTTGGGACCCGCTTCTCGAAGCGGACCCAGCCGAGGCGACGAGAAGTGCCCGGGAGGCCCAAAGAGGACGAGAAACGCCAGGGAGTGCCGCCGTTGCCGCGACTCGTCCTCCTCCTCGATCCTTGAGATCCGACGTTCCGCTCGCGACGAGAGCCCCAAATCCACTTTTTTCTGCTGCACCTTTCGAGCCAGGTCGATCCATGTCCTGGGGCTCGGAACCGAGCGACGTCCCCCCGCGTGAAAAACTGCCACGCCCGGATCTCAGGCCCCTGCACGCTGGGCGCCGGCGGCCCGCACAGGGCGGGCGGAGCCAGGGGGGGGGGGGGGCGGCCTCCCCCCGCACGAGGATGCCGCGCCCCTGCCCAGCAACCTCCACGTGGGTGCCCCTGCGGGAGGCCGGCCGCAGGGGGGCCGGCGGTCCAGGAGAGGTGCGGAGCGTGGGCCGTGTGGGGTGGGGGGCAGTTTCCAGCGAGTGTGCCCCCCGACATCGGTTCGAGAGCACGCGAGGGCGCCCAGAGGCGTGAGCGGCGTGGACAGCAAGGGCGCCCAGAGGTCTGAGCGCACGCGTTTCGTGGACGCTTGCTCGGAAAAAAAGCCCTGACACGTCGGAACCAGGCCCTCCCCCCCTTTCCGCCTAATCATTTGAAGCGCCCATTTGGACACTGGCCTGGGGGACCCTTCTCCAAGGGGGGTGTTCGAACGGGGTGGGGGCCTGTCCGAAAGGGAGGGATGGTTAAACCGCCACCCCCTCCCCCAAATAGAATCCGACGGGTACTCGATCAAACTTGAATGTACGAGAATCCGACTGCATCAGGACCCAACTTTGATAGCATCGTAGACGGACTCGATCCAAATTCCCATTGCAAGAATCTGCTATAGCTGGCTGGATCAAGCTCTACCTCAATCCTATCAAGGCTCGACCCAGCTCTACTATAAGCCGACTACAACTGGATCCAACTTTGGTAGCATCCTAGGCGGGCTCCATCAAGCTTGAATGTAATCCGAACGATAGCTGAATCCAGCTCCATCTGAATCCGACGAAGGCTGGATTCAGCTCGAATAGAATCCTACTATATATAGCCAGCTCAAGCTCTAATTGAATCTTTTTGGGCTCGATCCAGCTCTCATTGATAATGGAATCTCACTTGGCCTCGATCCAAACTTAATCACATCCTACTAGGTTTCGGTCGTCGTCGTCGTCGTCGTCGTCGCTGCCCGACGGCGCCGCCGCCAGCGCCGGCGCTCTCCGTCGTCGGATGCCGCTGGAGACGACGGGCACCCCCTTCCCAATTCGCCCCCCCCCCCCGCCCCTTGCAAGACCCCCCCCCGCAGTCCTAGGGCCCTGGGTGGGGGGGGGCGGTTCGACCCACCCCCCCTCGGCAATCCAGGGGGAAGCCCCCCCCCACCCGAGGCCCCCCCCCTGGTTCGAACCTCCCCTCGGGCAGCGTCCACAGAACGCGCTCTTTCACAGGTCTGGAGGTTTCCAGGGGTGCCAGCGTCTCAGCCTTCGTTTTATCGACGACGAGAGGTCGAAGTCAACGAAAAAACGCCCGCCCTATTCCTTGACGAAGCGATGAGGTTTTGTTGTATCGAGAAATATCTGAGGCCGGGGGGCCTCGCCATCGAGCGGCAACCCGCGCGCCGAAAATGTAAGAAAAAGAAGACATCGGGCGACTAAGAAAATGTTCTGTCGCCCGCAGGTGGGAGAGGAAGGCGACAGAGGGGGCGACAAATTCAGAGCCCTGTCGACGTGTGCGAGACGTAACGTCGTCGCCGTTGTCGTCGTCGTCGCCGTCATCGTCGTCGTCGTCGTCGGGGTCGGCGTCGGCGTCGGCGTCGGCGTCGTCGTCGTCGTCGTCGCCGCCGCCGCCGCCGCCGCCGCCGCGGCGATCGCCCGCTCCCCTACCCTTCCCTGAGCCCTCCTCCCCCCCTCCCCTGGGCCCAAGACTGCCCAAGAGGCCTCCAAGACATCCCAGGCGAGGGACCAGAACGGACATCTCGTGCCCTCGGCCCCGGGAGGCTTCGAGGAGGTCCCCAAGAGGGCCCAAGAGGCCCCCAGAGAGCCCCAAGGGTCCCCCAAGAGGACCCGATTCACCCCAAAAACTGCCCCCCAGAGGCCTCCGAGAACGCTCCGAAAGAACCCCAACAAAAAGTATCCCTCAGGACTCTGACTCACGTTAGCGTCGTCGTCGTCGCCTCCGCCGTCGTCGTCGTCCCCCTTCAGGGGCGGCACTGGCCGCAAGGCCTTCGCTGTAAGTCGCCGCCTTGACTTTTTGAAGACGTCGGGCGAGCAAGATTTGTGCTGTCGCCCGCAGGCAGAAGAGGAAGGCGAGGGAGGAGCCGACGAAACCAGAGCCGATGGCAGAGGGGTCAAGGACAAGGAGTGCAGTAATGTGGAGAATGGCGACAACAGAAGTCGCACACCACGCGAACCGATGCGAGGGGGAGAAGCATGACCCTCGTTACGTGACCACTCGCGACCACCATCCTACGGTGGCGTGGACCTCGGGCTTTGCCCGACGAACAAAATACCATCCTGGAGACGCCACAAGCTCTGATACCGCGAGCCCCGCCGCGCCGACCCTGATACTGCGGGTCAGCTGCGCTGCCACAAGAAGGCTCGAACCCCCGCCACACACGAGCCAGGTACCCTGCCCCCACGCCCACACGAGCCTCCTTGACATTGTGCCCTTCGCGCGAGGTTGCGCTGGTACAGGGATGCGGTGCCATGCACCAGCTAGGGGGAGGAGGAGGACAAGGAGGAGGAAGCTAGTGAGAAGGAGGGAGTAGGACGAGGAGGACGGAGAGGAAGATGGCGGTGAGAATGAGGAGGAAAAAACTGAGGATGGTGAGGAGGAGGTAGATACGGCCTGGAGGAAAGCAGAGCGAGGAACTCTCCCGTCAAGCCGTCCGTGGGCCAACTCTCGGCATTCCGCTACCTGCCCCCACCTCCCCCTCTCCTCCCCCTATCTCGTCCTTCTGGGACCTCCTCCTCATCATACCTCCTCCTCCTCAGCATTCCTCCTCCTCCTCCTCCTCCTTCTCCTCCGCCTCATCCTTCACTCCTTCTCCCTCCTCCTCCTTCTCCTCCTCCTCCTCATTATCCTCCTCCTCCGAGTGTATGTCGTGGTTCGGCGTAACGACTGTCACCGCCCCCCCCTCCTCCCAGGTGGCGTAACGTTCGGTGTTGGCGGGGTCTGGGAATCCCTCGAAGAGCCAGACCCTGCGCGCGCTAAACATTTCATGACCGCCCCCCCGGTGGCGCTCGTCACGGCAGCAGGATCGGAACACAGGCTGGGAATCGGGTGAGGATAAGTCGGCGCCAGACGTGCCCAGCACCACGGCCGCTCCAGAGCGCTAGTTTGCGCCCTGGCAGCGTTCCAGAGCGCCCTGGAGCGATGCATCCTCAATTCTAGGCCTGTCTGAGCCCCGAAGAGAACAACAGGACGATAATGATGTCATGATGTGATTGACTGCGGGTACGCTCCAGGAAATCCTGTATGTCAGGGCCCTCGTTGATGGAGCACGCGCCGCACGTGCTGCACTTTCACAGCTTTGACCAGGTCTTAGAAAACCTCAATGGCCTCTGGCCTGAGCCGCCAGCCCTGCGGAAAGACCAGGAAGGACCGCCTAAAACAAGCATTTCGCCTGAGACATCCTCACAGCATGGAGACAATGGTCTCCAAGACTGCCAAGATTGCGCAATATAGCCTCCAAGACGGTCCCAAGACGCTTTCAAGATGGCCAAGATGGCCCCAAGACGTCTCAAAATGTCCTGCCGACGGCCCTAGAGGCCCCCAAGACGCCCCAAGAGGAGCCCAAGATGACCTCCAGGAGGTCCCTCGTGTTCTGGATAATTTGAGCGGTCTCGCCTGTTCGGGCTTCCGATGCTGACCCGAGAGGCCCACGAGGGCCCCAAGACGGACGCCCAAGAGACCCATCAAAACCGCCCGAAGACGGCCCCACCGACCTCCAAGGCGGCCCAAGATCGCCCAGAGAGTGGCCCACGGCTACCCAGAGAGGCCACCACCACGGCCTCCGAAGGCCAACAGGTCCCCTAGAGGCCCCCGGAGGCCCGGAGGCCACCAAGAGGCTCCCAGACGACTCCCAGGAAGCTCCCACAAGGCCCCAAGGCAGCCTCCTCCTCGTCCTCCTTCTCCTCCCTTTCCTCCTATGGTATCTTTCTCGTGCTCTTTGTATGGTTCTTCCTCTTTCTAGTTCTCTTGTGTTTGTTTGTTTCTCTCCCTCTCTCTCTCTCTCTCTCTCTTTCGATTCCTCTTCCGATATGTTTATAAGCCCGGGCGGGGGGAAAACCCCGTCCACCCCCCCAAAAACCGGACTCACGAGATCTGGGGCTGTGGGATTCTCCGGACGAGCCTCGAAGCGGCCACCGGGCCTCGCAGGGCGTTTTGCCAAGCCTTCCCAGCACACCTAGGGCGATCAGGGGGGTCATCGGAGACGTCCCAGAGACCCCCAAGACAGCACAAGAGCGCTCCAAGAGTGACCGACGTGACCTCAAGATGGCCCAAGAGGCCTCCAGGACGGCCCCAAAGAGGCCTCCGAGAGCACTCCCAAGAAGGCAAAAGTCATAGATTTTCTGTGGTTGTTTGGTGAATTTTGGGGTTCTCCTCTTTTCAGCTTCCCGACGCTCCAAGACGGCGGTCTTCTGGGCGTCCGAAGCCGCCTGGGAGGCTCCAAAATCGCCCCACAACCATCTCAGGCAGTCCAAGAAAGCCCCAAAACGACAGAAACACGGGTCCAAGATAGCCCTCAGAGAGCCCCATGGCGGCCCAAGATGGTCCAAAGACACCCTCCGAAGAATTGCAAATCGTGATTCGGTCGTTTGGGGAGACCGTGGTTGGAACCAGGGTGGCCCGAGGGAGCCCCCGGAGGCCCCCAGAATACGCCCAGGAGGCATCCAGAAGGCCTTAAGAAAGCCTGAAACAACTTTTGTGACGCCCCTAGAGGCTCTCCAAGGAGGAGCCTCCGCAAAAAAGAGCTGGGGAGGATGGGGAGAATCCGCAAGGTATGGCGAAAATAAGGAAAAAGAAGCATGGAGGAAGGATAACGAATAACATCATTATAGCGGCGATGCCGGGAAAGGCAACCAGGAGTTATCGCTAAATTGTCGGCTTGACCTTCCTGCTATTCCGCCTGCATAACAAACTTCAACTTCAACGACCAAGGTGCATGGCGCGAAGCGCCACTACAGTCTTGTATATATATATATATATATATATATATATATATATTCCGAGTGTATACAAAGGGGGTCCACAACGACTGGGGAAGCATATGAAACAATAATCAACTTCGACTGATTCTGGTCAAACTTATGACCGCAGGGGAGGTTCCAAGAGGCAGGGTACGACTGTCGATTGAGGTGGCAAGGTGTTCTGTCTCTTCTCCAGCCTCGAGGTGATATTCAAACCACTGTGGGATAATCGTCGGCCTGCCTTCGTGTGCTCCTCGGCTCCCTCTCGGCCCTGGCGCCTCCTAACCCTCCCTCAGGGTCGGCGAAACCAGCCGTAAGGTCTCGAAGACCTGGGGCATCTGGGGATCCTCGTGGGACTCTCGTGCAGCCTCCTCGGCGACTGCCTCGGGTTCTCTTCGAGCTGCCCTTCGGGCCCTGTCGAGGGGAGCCGCAGTGCTCTCTCCAAAATGAATACCCAACCAAAGAAACCTGTGGCCTGGCGAGGCTCCCCCCCGGGCGACCGACGGCGGCGAAAGACCTCCAGTGTTGATGCTTGTTCACGGCGCTGCGCCGGAGGTCTGGGGCACAGTGGGCGCACTCGAGGGCGTTCACGGCGACAGCACAATCGAAAACCTACCGAACCGACAGCGAAACTGAAACCGACTGAAACCAACAGGCTACTGGACAGAACAACAACCGACCGAGCCGAACCGACCGAACGCAGCCGACAGCAACGCAGCCGAACAGGACCCGAACCGCGGACACCCTTGCGACGGGGGCGAAGGCAGGCGACGACGGCGGCAACGATGGTTGCGGCGCAGACGGGGGGGGGCCTCTTGCCGATGTGGACGCCGGGGCTCGCGACGAGGGGCGCCTCCTCGTCGCTCTCGGAGCGCGGGGGGCAGCAGCAACACAGCGCGCCTGCCGCGGCCGGCAGGTGGCGCATGGGGCGCCCAAGTGACGATTTCTGGGGGAGGGCCAAGATGGTCCTGGCCAGAAATAGTCCCGGTTATTCTGACCATTTTGCCCCCCTCGCGGGGTCCTCCTCTGGACCTTGCCAATGGGAATGCTTGGGAGGCCCAAAAACCTGCCTGGAAATCATGGGGACATTGTGGGCCAAGGACACCTCTGGCAACACCCGACCTTGAGCCCATCCCCCCCTAACGTTGCTCCAGACTGGGGCCAGGGCCACGTCTGGCAGGCCGCTTCCCAGTGGTGCACGCCCTGATTCTCCACCGTCGGTCACTCCATTTTCCATATTTTGTTCCTCCTTCGTTTTCGCTGGAAGCCCGTGTAGTCTTCCTAAAAACAAGGAGCGTCAGGGTGGGCGGGGTTCACGCGGCGCCCCCCCCCCCGGGCGCAGGGGGGGCCCTATCCCCTTCCCTACTGGGTCGACCTGTGGGCATGCAGGAGGCGGGTTTTCTATCCGCCCTTCTGCAGGCACGAAACGCCAGGAGAAGGGGGGCAGGGCCTATGTCCGCAAGAACGCCTGCGCACGCCACCAGCCAGGCACGTGCAGGTCGACAAGCCAAAGGAGCGGGGAAATGTCGACGAGCGGGCGGAGACATGTTGCCTGGCAGACCGGTAAATTCCGCGCAGACCGAGCGAGGATATTATTTCGGGCGAGCGGGGGCATTCTCGCCGATCGATTGAAGAATTGTTTTCGGGCGAGCGGAGATTGATCCGCCGAACGCGGCGAAACAAGGACGCTGGGATGGGAAACTCCGCTTCGAAGCATCTAGACACCACGGACAACTGAACACCTTCGATAGAACCTTCATCTAATAAATGCCGCCAAGGCCCGACCGCCCGGGAGAAACAACGAGCCCTGCAAACGCAAGCGTTTCTCAAGACCCGCTATCGAGCCTTCGAACTTCCCCCTTCAGATAATGACCGACTACATAATGATGCAAAGCGAACGCCTCAAAAACACGCACCTACCATAACGATGACAACTCCCCCTTTTCCAGAGAACTCTCGGCCACCCCAAATTTTCAGTTTGACGGTTGGGCGAACGCTACGCCAAAAAACAGCCCATCACATGATTACGACAGCCGTCGAACTGACGCTGGAATAGGAAACTCCTGTCGGATGTTTGATGACACCTCGGATCGAGACCCGAACACCCGCGAGAAACAACGAGCCCCGTAAACGCAAGCTAGTTTCTCTAGACCCCCTTCTCCAGCCTTCGAGCCTTCCCCTTCCCGATATACAACGACTACGGAACAATGCAAAGTCAGCGCCTGAACGACACGCGCCTTCTCTGATTTTGACAAAACGCCTGCGCCCCTTCCAAGGAGCGCTCGGCTACCTTGGGTTTACAGTCTCGGGGCAATAACCGTTGATCGGGCGTAACAACCCATCACATGATTGCATGTAACGCGCGCAACGAGATAAGCGGTAAGGACGCGAGGCCCTTGACGCCAGAGCATACGCTTCATAATTCTCTTCGGATGCGCTGAACAGGCGAGGACGCAAGGGTGCCCTTGAAAATGCCACTCAACCATACAATGCGCGCCTAAAGGAAACATTCAACTTAATCAAAACCGCTGCGACAACCAACATGCTGACGCACAACAAACGCGATCAGCCTTTCCGCCTCGAGACAACAGCAACAGTCTGGAGCCCTGATCCCGTCCCTTCTTCCGAATGGCAAAAGCCATAAGAAACAGCGGGCTCTGTCAACGCAATCGTTCCTCACGACCCCTCCTTTGAAACCCCCTCTTCCGATGCACGACAAGAGCTGAAAATGCATTCAAAACGGGCACCGCAAGAACCAACGCCTGGAAGCGGACACAAAAAGTATACACCACACCACCCCGACGTCGCTCCCGATCCTCTAAAGTCCTGGGACTGAAAATCAGTCCGCCACTGGTCATATATAGGTATATACACATATATGCTTCAATGTCCGACAACCGCCTTTTTCTCAAAACTGCCCGCGAAACGGACACGCGGCCGCATTCCTGATACGACTTCCAAGACAAACCGAGGCGGGCCGCTGCCCTGTCCTGGAAAACTCAAATCGACAGGGCCCATCAAATCTCCCACGGCTTCCCTTTGCAAGGAAGCCTGTTTCCGTCAACTCACTCCCGCAACCGCGCCTCACACGTACGCGCGCACACAAATTGCGAGGTCATTCTTTCAAGCGAACGAAAGAAATCTTTCAGGCGAACGCGGACACTTTCTCAGTCGAACGGGAAAATGTCTGGACTAGGGAATTCCAACGGCGAAGCCCTCCAACACATCGAGAGTTTGAAACCGTTGATGAAGCCCCGATCTCGTCACTGCCAGCGACAACACGGCGCGCATCAGGAACAACGCGCCTTGTGAACACTATAGTTTCTCAAGCCCCCCTCCCCCTGAAGTCTCCCTGTTCCGATGCACAAGAATGGAGTTGGCCTCGGACGAACGAAGATGCCCCCCAGGCGAACAAGAAATGCTGGACGCTGCCGGGGGAAACGTCCGAGGCCGCAGCAGCAGCCCGGCGACGCTCTGCAAACGCGACTGGGCTGGCCAGTGCTGGAGGACGAGAGACCGGCACAAACCATGCCCTGATGGCCTGGCACAGGCAGAAGCGCCAGGCCATCCTGAACCACTGCTGGGGCGCCAGCGCTGGCGCCGGAGGCGAAGGAAAAAGAGAGAGGGAGGAGGTGGAGGGGGGGGCGGCGCCGATGCTGCCCAGGAAAGGCGGAGGCAGAGCAGAGGAGGGAGGAGAGGAGGAAGGGGAAGTGGCGGCGCCGCGGCTGCCCTGGGAAGTCGGAGGTAGAGGAGGAGAAGGTAGAGGAGGAAGAGGTGGAGGAGGAGAGACCATCATCCCACCACGTGGCAGAGAAGCTGAATATCGTCCACGTCAACTTCTTCTTCTTCTTCTTCTTATTATTATTATTACTATTATTATTATTATTATTATTATTATTATTATTATTATTATTCTTATTCTTCTTCTTATATCTCTCTGGCAGGGTGGACCATCGCCCCGCCGCATGGCAAAGGGGCGGACCACCATCATCTACGTCAGTTTTTCTTCATATTTTCTCTGGCAAGGACCGGAGCTTGATCCCCATATTCAGTTTCCTCGTTGGCTTGGTTTCCTTCGGGATTGGCCACAGTCATCGATTTTGTGTTCCGAACGCTTCAAGAGACTGGAAACAACAAATTAGGCGAGAGGCTGGACGCTTGCCGTGCTGGAGCGGCACCCCGATAACCGACCTGACACCGCCGGGGAAGGTTCACGCGGTAGCGGGCGAGGTTATCCTCGGCAGGCTCGTCCCGCAGGATCGTTTGCGCCAACGTGACACAAATGTATCCAGAGAGTTTGGCCTGTGCATGCTCTTTGGTTCGAGGCAGAGGTGGAGGGCGGGATTGCCAGCCATCCGGGCTTACCGGCCCAAGAATGGTCCAACATGCGGGCTTGGCGGCCCAGCCTTCTCCAGGAGACCGGGTTGCTGGATTGATTGCGCTATGCTGTAGACGGTCACCGAGCTCGCCATTCGGTCTGGGTTCGTGTCCCAGGTATATGCGTGGCGCCGTCGACTCCAAGACGGGCCCGGCGGCTCTGAGGCGATTGTGCGCGGCTCCAGTGGTGGGCGACTCGTGTTTCATCTTCTCCGCGGCCGGGTGACCCGCTCGGCAATGGGACAACAGCTACCACGATCAATATTCCCAGATACGGTTCATTCTGAAACCGTGCGCACCAACAATTTCATGGTGCCAGGACGCGTCACAATATTTGGCAAGGGGTATCTACTCTGCTGCTGGGCCCCTTCCCCAAGGTCCACAAGGAAAGTAGGCCACGTAGCCACGTCTGCGAGGCCAGGTCCATATCGGCGGTGGACAAACCTTCCTTTCGCAAACCACCCTTTAGCGAACACGGCCTGGGGCCGCAACCGACGGACCTGGACCCGCAAAAATGACGGCCCCGACGCCCTCTCGCGAACCGAAAACGGCCGATTCGCTAATCGACGTGTGGGGAGGCGCCTCGCCTGGGAAACCGTGACCTCACCGACGTTGCTTTCGAGGTCAGGGGGGGTAGGGTCGAAACTGGTTTTTGGGGTAGTCGCGCAGGGTTGGTATAGTCGCTCACGCGGCGCAACTGATTAACATAATGGCATGTTCGTCAAATCTGCACGCGCCGCTATTCGCAAAACAATTGAAAACGAGCCACGCGCAAACCGAGCACAAGCGATTTCGGACATCCCACCCAAACGCTGAGGGCTCAAAATTCGACGAGGTGAATAAGCCGATGCGAAGTTTTTGGCATAAAGGCCAGAAGGCCCCCTCTGGAATTTCGCGAGAGGACCCCCCCCCTACAAACGCAAAAGGTGCCACGAGGGGCCACGAGGGGCAATGGAGAATCTCGCGGGGCCACGAGGGGCCACGGAGCCACGAAGAGGGGAGGACATGCTAGGAGGGAAGAGCAACCTCTTTTCGTTATTTATTTCGAACTACTTCGGTCCGCAGGCCGATGCTGCGCCAGGGGCGCACGCGCGCCTGCCTCCTTCTCGCCACGGCGCAGACGGGGAGGGGCGGTAGAGGAGAATGAGAAACAACGGTGAAAAGAACTAAGAGGAAGCAGGAAAGGAGGAGGAGGAGGGGGAGGAGGAGGAGGAGGAAGGTGGGGGGAGGGAGGAAGGGAGGAGGAGGAGGAGGAGGAGGAGTAGGAGGACACGAAGGCGAGCAAAGCAAGTCACCCCCCCTGTAAACTAAATTCTCACCGCTCGCTCTAGAGAGAGGGCCACATCTGCATCTGCTATCCCACAGCAGACTCTGACAGCAGACTAATGGCCGAGCAGCGGCTAGGGAACGCGACGTGAGCGGCGAGGGGCTGCCGGGCTCCCGTCTCCTCGGACTCCTCCTCCTCCTCCTCCTCCTCCTCCTCCTCGCCCTCCGCCTCCTCCTCCTCCGCCTCCTCCGCCCCCCCTCTCCTCAATTATCTTCCGACGGTCCGTCGGTCGGTTTCCGACCCCCCCCCCCGTCCTCCGCCCGCCCCTCCCCTTCGCCTCCGGCCGCGGCTTCTAAAACAAAAAAACGTGCGTGGGCTGAGGCGATCGTCGCATCGTCAGCGGCCCGCCCTTCGAGTCCTCGATCGCCAGCAGGCTGCCCGATTCGATCGGGCCGTCCTCGAGTGAGAGCAGGCGGCCGCCGTCGTCGTCCGAGTCGCCTGACGACGACGATGGGCGGCGTCGGCCATCGATCTCACCAAACGCCTGCCGCTGGCTGTCAACTCTGCGAGGGTACAGGCCAAACTTGACGTTAGTGATGCACGCCTTGTAATACTGAGAGCGCGGACGCCCAGCGCAGCGCGCGCCCATGTTACGATTGCACGCCTCCTCTCGGGAGGAGGAGCGAGGGCGAAGGAGGAGAGGGGGAGGAGGGGGGAAGGAGACGGAGGAGGCTGAGAGGTAAGCGGGGTCCTTGCACCAGACCCCGCACACCCTGCAAATGCAAACAGAGTGTAGCTGACGGAGGTCGTGTGTCCCGTGCCACGTCCTCGGCAGGCTAACGGCTAGTAGGCTAGGACCCCCATTCCCTCCTCATCCTCATCCCCACCTCACCCCATGGGCCCCACGGGGCCCCGTGGGCCCCGAGGGCCCCAAGGGGGCCCTGCCAACGGGGGGGTGCCCTTTGCCGTTTGCCCAAGTAGTGCCAATAAAGGTTGTGCTCGATGTTCTTATGCCAAGCCTCGGATTCGTTGTCCCTGATGTCAACCAAGCAGTCTGGGTGCGAACGAGCCTCCCGGCGCACGACGCCGCCACTCCAAGGCCCATCACCCTTTTGATAGCGGTACTCGCATGGGGACCGCGACCGCACGCGCCCGTCTGCGATGCGCAGAGCCATCTCTCCGAGCGCCCGAGCGGCCCGAGGAGGCACTGGGCCCGAGACTCGAGAAATCGCACAAATCTTAACTTGGGCCCAAACACAACCGACCGATCATCTCCTTCTCCTCCCTCTCCTCTCCCCCCCCTTCCTTCTCTCTCTTCTCGGGGGGGGGGGCGGAATCCAGAAAGGTTGAGGGTGGGGGGGGGCGGAAGGACTGAGGGGGGGGGCCCGATGGACGGGGGAAGAGCATGGGCAACTTCATCCATCGATTGCGAGACGCCCCCCAGGGGCCCTGGGGGTAAAGATTGTAGAGCCTAAGCCTAAGCCTGCCCCCCCTGCCGACGGGGCCGCTCGCGCCGCTGGCGGCTGGCGCCGCCCCGGCGCGGCGCTCGGCGCGGCGGCGCGGCCGCCCTGCAGGCGCCGCCGCCCAGGGGCAGGGGCAGGGGCGGGCAGGGGAAATTGAAATGCCGGGCAAGCTGCCTTCCGCCTGCGCCCAAATGCGCACAGCAAGACATGCCCTCTTCTCGCGTTCTCGCGCGGCTCGCGCGGCCGCCGCCCCGCTCCGACATTACATTTGCTATTAAACATAATGTCTTCAGTCTGGCTCTGAGAGACCTCGTTCTATCCTGCCTCTCCCTCCTCCTCCTCCTCCTCTCCTCCTCCTCTCCTCCTCCTCCTCCTCCTCCTCCTCCTCTCCTCTCCTCCTCCTCCTCCCCTCCTCCTCCTCCTCCTTCTCCTCCTCCTCCTCCTCCTGCCCCTCCCCCCCTCCCCTCTTCCTCCTCCTCCCCCCCTCCTCCTCCTCCTCACCTCCTCCTTCTCCAAGTCCAGACTGCCAGACAGACGCGGAGGCGGGCGGCGGCGGGCAACGCAAATTCAAAGAAAAACTCAGAGGAGCTGCGAGAGCAGCGGCACTGCCGGGGGAGCGCGAGAGAAGGGAAGGGAGCGGGAGCAGGGCAGAGGTCGAGGGCCGACGGTGCAGACGGCTGCAGCAGCCCATGCATCATGCATGGCTTGCTTACTTGACTTTCCCAATCCTCCTCCACTCCTCCACCTCCTCTTCTCCTCATCCTCACCCTCTACTCGCCTAGAGCTCACTGGACGAGGTGCCGAGCCTCCGCAGGGACCGACGGCACCGACGGGCCCGGGCCCGATGACGATGAGCCCGAGCTCTTGCCCGAGCCCTTGCCCCTGGTGGCGCCCTTGCCTTTCCTCCTCGGCTTGACGGACACCCGCTTCGCAATCGGCCCCCGGACCAGACGGAATCGCGACCCCACGGGCGCCGCATTGATCATCTTGGCGACCTTCTCGTCGCAGGGCAGCGTGAGCTGGATCACGGTCACATCGAGCTGGATGACCTTCTCCTGCAAGAGCGGACGGGGGGGCCTCCTCAGGGCCTCCTCAGTCCCTCTTCCTCCTCCCCCCCCATCCTCCTCCTCCTCCGTTTCCCTGGGGTCCTCGGCGAACACGCTGTAGCGGTGAGCGTACGGGAACTTCTTCTCCTCGCACGTCATCTTGAGATCGCCGTAGTACTTGTCATTGCCGCCGCCGCCGACGCCTTCCTCCTCCTCGTCGATGACGTGCACTAGCCAGGCTGGCACGAACTCAGGCGTAGAGAAATCTGTGCCAGTAGGATTGCAGAAGATCTCATTCTGGTCGCCGTTCTCGCCCCCGAACGCGCATGCCATGCATGCGCCCACAGCTGGCGCGCACGACACGTGCCCGACCATGTTGAGAGTGATGCTCGGCGTCACGCTTTTGGAGCCCTTGACCCAAGAAAGGCCAGGTTCACCGGAGAACGGGGGCCCCTTGAGATTGCCGCTCCCGCCGTCGTAATTGTCTGGGCTCAGCAGAGTCGGGGCCGTGCCGTGGAAAGCGCAGTCGAACAACTTCGACTCCAAGTTCAGGACGAGGGTCCTAATGGCCATCGCGGGCACCTCGAGCTCTCTCCCAGTTTGATTCCCATCTGGGGCCACCGAGAACATCGCGCGGATGGAAGGCAGGTCCATCAACCGCTCCGACGTCTCGAGCGATCTCGCCGTCTGCTCCACAGCCTGCTTCGGCGCCTCGGAGGCCACCACCTCGTCGGAGGGCCCCTCTGCCGCCGCCGCCGCCGCATCGCTCGCCTGCTCATTCTTCTCCCGCAACTCGCCCATGGCCGCCTTCATCTCCTCGCAGTCGAGGCCGCGACGCTTGCCGTCGGAGTCGGTGACGATGGAGCAATTGATCAGTTGCTGGAAGCGATCGGAGAACAGCTCAGCCGAGCAGTAGTCGCCGCAGCTGGACTCGACGAACGAGGCCACGTCTGCTTGGGCCGCGTAGATCCACATCAATACATGCGAGTAATCGTCCGTCGTGATCTTCTCGACGCCCTGGATCCACGGGGCGGCGCAGTGCCGGAAGTACAATGTCCGCAGAGTAAGCACCCTCGAAACATCCGACTTGGACCTGAACACCTTGAACGACAGGACAGACGTCTTATCCTCCGGCTCATTCTGGAAGCTCTTGGAGTCCAGCGCGCCCTGGACGTGGGAAGCGAACTCAATCCAGCGCGTGGGAACGGCCTTGAACAACTCAACAGCGATCGCGTCGCACACGATCCTCACCTTCGCGGCGTCATCAGCGATGCCCCCGCGCAACGCGCATGCAACTGCAACTGCGGTCTTGTCAGACA